GCTGCTATCTGCGAAACTGTCACCACTGTCGAGGGCTGCTGGGGGGCCCAGCGGAGTGGGGTCATACGCAGATTCAAATTAGACCTCGCCATCCCTGGGGGGCTGCGATCTGCGAAACTGTCGCCACTTTCGAGGGCTGCTGGGGGGCCCAGCGGAGTGGGGTCATACGCAGATTCAGATTCCCCCCCATTCCATCCTTCTCCTGCCTCTCGTTCCTGTTCCTGTTATTCTTCGAGCCTGGGGCCTCAATCCTCGCTCTTTCGATCGTCGTCCTGTGAGTTGTGCAGCGCATGCGCATCCCATGTAGTTTGCGCAGCAGTTCACCGCGTCTACACTGTCGCTGTTCCTGCTAATGTTGGCCTACTCCGTTTGCCACTTGATGCACATTGGTTGGGTACGTCGCAGGGTAATTTTTGGATTCGCGGAATCCAATCAGGGCCTTCCTATTTCAATGATCGAGTGGCTTCACCTTTTCCGTCCTCCTTAGGGGGCGGGCGGGATCCAATCCATGTTCAACGTCTTCCTATGTCATGTTTCTACCTACTTCTTCTGACCGATGTGTAACCCCACCAACCCATCCAGAAAGGATGCCCACGAGTTGCCCTGATTAGTGATGTGGAGGAGCAAGCAGTGGAATACAGGGCTGGGTAAGACGTCATACCCCTTGGAGGTGGGGTGTGGAGGGGGAATCGGAGAAGCAGTTGTAAGGAGGAGAAGGAGGGAGGAGGGAGGAGGAGGAATAGGCGACTGAGGAAGTGGAGGAGGAGGAGGAGGAGGAAGAGAAGGAGGAGGCGGGCGTGCAGAAAGGCTACAGGCCTGTTGGATGCTCCTCGGAGTCTCTTTGGATTTCTCTTGAGAGTTTCTTGGGGTCTTCTTGGGACGTCTCGGGGGCCTCTTGGCGGCCCCAGGGCCTCTTGGAGCGTCTTGGGTGCCTCAGGGGAGCCTTTGGGGGCCTCTTGGGGGCCTGGCCTCTTTGGGCCTCCGGGGCACCTCTTGGGGCCCTTCTGGGGCGTTCTTGGCAGCCTTGGGGCCGTCTTGGGGCCATCTGGGAGGCTATCGATCAAAGATTGGGGGGCTCAATTAGCGTCGCCCCCCCAGCATGTCCCAAATGGGACCAACACCTGCGTAACATCAATGATGCACGCCTTCTCGCTGAGGCCGTCTTGGACGCTCCAATGGGTCGCGAAACCCCCCATCCAGGTCCTGGGTGAGGGAGTGGTCCTTATTCAGCGTTCCTCATCGTAGCACGATGTCTGTACCGCTGTACCCTCATGCTCGTCCTGGCGCGCACTCATGTCCCCCACTTTCGGAACGTTCTCCTCGTCGTAGTAATTATTATTCCTGCCCTTGTCCCGCCGTCTCGTCTCATGCTGTAGTGCTTCATACAGCATCCATCGGGCGTGCAACGAGGCTTCACAAGCACACGCGTGCGCCTTCAAATCCCACCAGCCCTTTAGAGCGTGAGTGGTTTAGAGAGTTCTCTGTTCCAACCCGCCTTGTCTCTTCTTCGGGAGAGGTTTACCACCGTTCCATATTAATGTGCACCCCTTCCCCCACCCGGCCAGCGTCCAACCAGGAACCTTGCTGACACCATGAGGGCCCGCCCCCCACCATCCCTATCAAAACACAATACAAACCGCACTCTGCCTCCACATTTGGAGCATGCGCGGCCAACCCCATGCGACCGCCCCCCCCACCATCCCTGTCAACAAACAATGCAAAGTACACTTCGGGTCAATCTTGAGTCATTTTCGTTGAGGCCCGCGAACACTTTGTATTGTTTTTGACAGAGACGGCGGGGGTGCCAGCATATTCCTTGCCGTGCGCAAGGCCACCATCCCTGACAAAAGCAATACAACATGCACCTCGCGGCGAAATCTGGATCATGCGCGGCCATCCCGCGATCACTGTCAAATGGTGTTCAGCAGTGACGGCGGGGGTGGTGACGCGTGGCCTGCTGTGCGCACGCCCACCAGACACAGAAAGTGGCATTGGTGTTCCACAGTGATGGCGGGAGCTGACATGGTTCCCGATGTGTGTGTGTGTGTGTGTGTGTCTCTGTGTGTGTGTGTTTGTGTGTTTGTGTGTGTGTGTGTGCTGCCACGTGCGCAGGCGCACCTGACGCACTCTGCACGTGCCCCGAACATGGCGCACCTGGCGCGGTTGGAGTGTGCGGCACACATGGCGCACTCAGAGCACGTGGCGCATCTGACGCACTAGGCGTGCCCGACGCGCTCGGGCCCACGGGGGCCTGGCACGCGTGGCGCCCCTGGCACGCGTGGCGCACTTCGCCCAAGCGTCGCGCACTTGGGGTCGGTTTTGGTTCCCAGTAGCTGCCCATCCAAAGACGACCGCTGAGCATGCTCAGGCTCGGGAGTTACTTATGTGTTGGGAGGGCGGGTGGGAGTGAGCTAGACGGCTTGCGGGCGGGTGGGTAATTTGACCCCTCCCCGTACCCCCACCGTTGGACGTGGGCGGGTGCTTCGCGACAGATTGGAGCGTCCACCGTAGCCGAATATGACCTTCAAGATGGTTCGAGGCATCGTAGGAAAGCCCAAGATGGCTTCAAACATGTTCCATGAGGTCCGAAGACCGTCCCAAGACGGCTACAAGTGGCCACGGAGCCTCCGAAGGAAGCCGCCAACAAGCCACACTGATTTTGTTTTGCACAATGGGAAATCCGTGTTTTGTTGGTTCTTGTTTTTTTCGCTTTCGACGGCCCTCCAGGTTCCAAGATGGCTCCACGAAGGCCCAAGAGGAGCCCAAGAGTGTCCCAAGACGGCCCCAAGAGCTCCCGAGCGCGCGCCAACAACGCACCGCACGAGGGGTCCTCGAGGAGATCTTGAGGGCTCTTGAGGAGCGAAGCTAATTGAGGGCCTCCCTTTCTTTGAACGATCTTCGCCAATATGGCCCCACCATGGCGGCCGAGAGCGCGCCAAAGTGGTCCCAAGAGGCGCCCTGGAGGCCCCACGAGGACCTTGAGAAGTCTCCAAGAGGCTCCAGACAGAACCCCAGGGGGGCCCAAGAGGCTCCCCAGACGCTTTCAAGACGCTGCCAAGACGCTTCCAATACAATCTAAGAGCCCCCCCAGGGACAGCCAAGAGGCCCCCAAAACGCTGCAAGAACACCCCAAGAAACTCTCAAGAGGACCCGACAAGACAGAAGCAGCTAAGAGGCCTGTGGCCTTGATGCTCGCCCTCCTGCACTTCCTCATCCTACCATTTCTCCTCCTCCCTCCTCCCCCTTTCCCTCCTCCTCCACTGAAGCTCCTCTACATCGCTGATCACGGAATCTCGTCGGGGCACCGCGTCTGGATGGGTTGGGGCTTGTGGGTGACGTGAAGCGTCTCTAGTATTCATATGTCTTACATCGCTGCTCACGGAATCTCGGGGCACCGCGTCTGGACGGGTTGGGGCTTGTGGGTGGCGTGAAGCGTCTCTAGTGTTCCTATGTCTTGGGAAGCCCCGTTGGTGCTGCCACTTGACAGCCCTTGTGAGGAGGAGGAGGAGGAGGAGGAGGAGGAGGAGGAGGAGGAGGAGGAGGAGGATGGGGGTGGAGGAGGAGGAGGGGAGGAGGAGGAGGAGGGAGGAGAGGAGAGGAGGAGAGGAGGAGGGAGGAGGAGAGGAGCAGGGAGGGAGGAGGAGGAGAAAGAGGAGGAGGAGGAGAGGAGGAGGGAGGAGAGGGAGAGGAGGAGGAGGAGGAGGAGGAGGGGGAGGAGGAGGAGGAGGGGGGGGGGGAGGAGGAGGAGGAGGAGAGAGGAGGAGGATGAGGAGAGGAGGAAGGAGGAGAGGAGGAGGAGGAGGAGGAAGAGGAGGAGGAGGAAGGAGGAGGAGGGGGGAGGGGCGGGAGGAGGGAGAGGAGGATGATGAGGGAGGATGAGGAGGGAGGAGGAGGAGGAGGAGGAGGAGGAGGGAGGAGGAGTAGAGGAGGAGGGGAGGAGAGGTGGAGGAACAGCAGCAGAGGGAGGAGGAGGTGGACCACATGGCAGTCAGAGGCAGGACTTTCTTGAACCACGCCGGTCGCCAGCTCTTCTGGCACGACCGCGGCCGCCACGGGGGCGACCGCGCGAGAGGCGGCCCCTGGCGTGGCCAACGTGGTTTGTGTCGCGACGGCCGTCTCCGCGCGGCTTCGGGCTACAGGGGGCAAGGATATGGGGGGATAGGCATCAGGGGGGGACGCATCGACCCCCAGTCGCCCATTGATCGCCGAGAGGGCCCCGTCGGCCGCAATCTGCCCAGGAGGGTGCGGATTCGCCATGGGAGGCCCATCGCCGATCTCTCCGCGATGTACCGCCGATTTTCCAGGTCGATGTTTCCCCCCCTATCCCATTCCTCCCCCCCCTTCGAGGTGCCCCTCGGCAGAACGTCGGGAGCCCCTCGAGATCGGGGGGTCAACGCAGACGGGGGCCAGCCAGAGCCTTCCAGATTTCGCAGGATCCTGCAGGATCCTCTTGCAGGGTCGCATGCAGAGCCCGACCCAGACATGCGACGTCCTGATTTTTTCAGCACGGCGTCCCCAGAAGTCCCGACTCTTTCCCCGGGACAGGTTTTTCATCCTGAGTCGTTGTTTGACGGTCCCGAGGCCCGGCGAGGGCCCCCCCGAGGCCGCGATGGGCCAAAAACCTCCCGTCCTGATTTTTTGCGACGCGATCATGTCTGGGGATCGGGCCCGGTTTGCATCGACCCGGGCCAGTGCGTCGCCCCGAGAGAGACGGGTTTCGAGGCTTTGGTCGGTGTCTCTCTGCGGCGGCAGATCTCCCGGAGGGCGCACAAGGGAGCAGCGCGGGAGCGGTCGCCACGTGCGTGCGTGCGTGCGTGCGTGCGTGCGTGCGTGCGTGCGTGCGTGCGTGCGTGCATGTGTGTGTGTGTGTGTGTGTGTGTGTTTGTGTGTGTGTGTGTGTCTGTGTGTATGTGTATGTGTGTGTGTGTGTGCGCGTGTGTGTGTGTGTGTGTGTGTGTGTGTGCGTGTGTGCCGATCCGCGGGCGCCGCAGCCGCCCCGCGATCCGCAGGGCGGGCCGCGCATCGGGGGGGGGGCCCTGAGGCCGCCCGCAGTGCTCTCTCGCCCGCCTGGGTGGGGGGGGCACCACTGGCCGCCAGGCGAGTCGCCAGCTCCTCACCCGCCTGCGCCCGCTGCTCCTCCGCCCCCATCTTCCTGCCCGCCTCGCCTCCTCTTCGGTCCCTCTCCTCCGTCCTCCTCCTTGCTCCTCCGCCTCCTGCTGCTCCTCCTCCTGCTCAGCATCATCAAAGGAATCACCTGCCCCCCCCCCCCCCCCCAGTGGTGTCCCCCTTTGACGTATCCTGCCGCCCCCCGCCGCGATGGGCAAGAAGAGCTTGCAGCACGGCTCGGTGGGCAAGAGGCAGCCGCCACACAGGAAAACAGTGCTTCCCGCAGGAACGGGACCCTGAGGTTGACCTCGTCGTGTTCGGCCCCCCCGTTCCACCATGCCACAGTCGGATGGCGCCAGCTACTCGTACACCGCTTGGGCTGGCCCACTGATCCAGCACGGCGTAAACACCAACCCTGGGCACGGGATGGGCTTGGCCAGGATCGGTGCAGGTTTACAGTTGGCGCCTTCCTGCCACAGGTTATTGTCGCTGCCTATTCGGAGGGCCTCGCCTGCCCCAGAGATTGCCGTTGTCTTTGCTCCCCGACCCGGGTTCGACGCGGCTTTTTCAGGTGCACTCGGCGTGGATCCGACGCAGGTTCGGTGCGTGCGAGGAGGAACGGACGTGGATGGCGGCGCGATCGGACAGTCCGGTCCCCCATATTCCGTTTATTCCTTCTCCGCCTCCTTCTCCGCTTCCTCTTCCGCTTCCTCCTCCTCCTCCTCTTCCTCCTCCTCCTCATCATCAGCAGCATCATCATCAACATCAGCAGCATCATCATCCTCATCATCATCATCATCCTCATCACTATCATCATCAGCAGCATCATCGTAATCGCCATCGTCATCATCATCACCACCACCATCATCATCATCATCATCAGCATCATCATCAGCATCATCATCACCGCGAAACAAAAACGCAACATCGCACAGGCAGGCCCCGAGCAACCGGGGACAGAAGAAGGGCCAGGGCGCGCTGAAGGCGGGCTCCGCGCTCAAGAGCTCCAACGCCTCCTCGAAGGCGGGGCGAACTGCACCCAACGGCGAGACCCGCGTCAGGAAGGCGGCGGAGAAGAATCGCTGGCGGGAGAGGAGGAGGAGGAGGAGGAGGAGGAGGAGGAGGAGGAGGAGGAGGAGGAGGAGGAGAAGGTGGAGGAGGAGGAGCATGGGAAGGAAGAGGATGGGGAGGAGGAGGAGGAGGAGAAGGAGAAGGAGGAGGAGGAGGAGGAGTATCAGAGGAGACCCACGAGTCATCAACGATGTTGGGATTCACCCTCCCTCCAAGCTCCCTCTTCGTAGGCCCCTGCGACGGTTCATTTCCATTGAGGGAGCTGCCTCGCTAGAAGACAACTGTTTGAAGATCCTGAAGCGTGCCAAAGCAATGTTCTCTGGATTTCAACGCTACGTGTCAACCTGACTGCTGCGTCTTGACGATCCAGAATCCTGCCAAAACGCGAATCAACATAACTGTTGCGCCCGCATAATCCTGAACCCTTCCAAGACACCACTGCTGGTGCGTGGATCATGCAAATCCGTGAAAGTTGTGCAAACTTAACAAACAATAATGCGCGCGGCGTTGGTGCGAGAGCCACGTTTTGAAAATACGCCACCCTCAATCCGTGAAGTTCTTGCAAATTGTTTAAACGAATGTGCGCGGCGCTAAGGCGAGAACCACATTTTGGAATGGAACCACCATCAATCCGTGAAGCCCTTGCAATGTTTTAAAACGAATGTGCGCGGCGCCAAGGCGAGAGCCACATGTTGAGAACCACCCGCCCACAATCCGCGACCCCCCTGCAATTTCTTTAAGCGAATGTGCGCGGCGCTCAGGCGAGAGCCACATTTTGAAAACCACACGCCCTCCATATGTGAAGCTGCCGCCACTTTTCAAGCTTCAGATTCGAAAGTGGTGAGGAAGCCTCAGGCGAAACGCCCAGCCCGCACTAAAAATTGGCCTCGGGGTGCGACAGGGAGAAGTTATCTATCAGGAGAATGGATGGAGGAGGAGGAGGAGGAGGAGGAGGAGGAGGAGGAGGAGGAGAAGTCCGTAGCCATTTTGACTCAAGGCCGCGCTCGCGTGCTCAAGGGTGTCTGCCTCTGGCGAATGCTTATTGGCGGCCATTTGCTTCCGCACTCGACTTGGGATGGCACGGGACGCTGCCGCCTCTGCGGAGGCTCGTGCAGCGAGAGGCGTCGGCCGACGACGGGGCGCTGCGGGCGCACGGGCTTCGGCTGACGCGCTCATCACCAAACTCCTGGCAGAGCTGGAACGGCTGCGGGCACTGATTGGTCCAGGCGGCGGGGTGACCTTGGGCTCCGAGGTCGCCGGTTGTCAGGCCTTGGCCAGGCCCGCCCTGCGTCGCTTCGACGACACGCTGATCCGCAACGTGGCCCTCCATGCGCAGCGCTGTCCTTCAGCTGGAGCGCCGCCTCGGGAGTGGCGCAGCGCGCAGAAGGGCCCTAGGCTGTGGGGGGCTCCCAGCAGTGCCGAGGCTGGACCGCTCATCCCAGCTGTGAGGGCGGTCCTGGATGGAGCGGGCGAGCCCTTCGAGCTCCCGCAGGGCCCTAGTGGTGTCACCACTTGGCGCCTGGAGGCCGTGGAGGCCGTGCTGGCCAGGGACGCCGTCAGTCGGAAGGAGCTCAATGCGTCCGCCGCGGAGTTCATCCCGTCTGCTTGTTTTTGGGAGCCTTGCGTGCCGGGCGTGGATCCTCGTTGCCCCCCAGGGCGCTGGGAGGCATCTGGGGCTGCAGGCCGGCGTCGTACTTGCGGCACTGTCGTGTTCTCCTGCGCGGAGCAGGGCTGGGGGCCCTCGAGTGCCACGGAGCCGCAAGGCGCTGCCGAGAGCAGAGTCGTCAACCAGCTGGAGGACAAGCAGGAGGCCGCGATGACCGTCGGAGTCTCTTGTGCAGCAGGTCCCGAGGGTCCCATCGCCGATGCGAACGCAGAGCCTGACTACAACCAGCTGATGAAGAAGTATTGGAACGACCCCAAGGTGAGGGAGGCCTGCGAAAAAGGCTTACGGCGTGCGGACACATCAGCCAGAACTACCACCTAGTGTTTGACGTGTCCCAGTTCAGACTCACCGAGATGTTCCCGTCACCAGTTCGGCCTGGTGGAAGGCCCGCCAAGAGGTGGCGAATGTGTGGATCAGGGGTACTGGTCCAGATCAACATGCCCTCTGACTGTTGCCGTGTAGTGTTCCCTTTTCTTTCTTGCTCAGAAGCGTGGAAGAGCAGTGGGTCTCTAGAGGGAGCGGCTTTGGTGGCCTCCCCGCTTTTGTGGGGGGCGCTGCCTGGAGGGTGGTGCTGAGCGCCGCCCCGGGTGACGCCGCATACCTCCGCTCCCAGGGAGTTGCTTCGGTGGACTCCCCTCGTTTGAAGGAGGCACAGCCTGGTGTGTAGTGCTCGGCGCTGTCCCAGGTGATGCCGCGCACCTGCCAAGGAACGTGTTTTTAACTTCAGAGGTCTCAGATTCTGCATGGTAAGTGCCGGTGGCCTGAGGGCCTGCACTTGACTCGGCCTGGCCCCTGGCTCGCCCAGTAGAGGACCCTGGAAGCGAGTGGTGGGGCCAGTTGCGTCACTAACCTTTGTTACTTCCAAATTTGTTGAGCTGTCTTTGCGTGCTCGCCCCACTCGTGGGCGGGCGGCGGACTTTGGCCATTGCCTGCGGGTGGTGGCTGAGGGCAGCCAGGCACCTGGGCCTCTGACCTGTGCCTATGTGGCGGTCCTGGCCTTCGGGCTCCGCCCGACAGGAGTGGGGTAGAGGCGGCCGGTGGGGTTTTGGGGCCCTATCCCTTGGCGGATCGAGTTGGGGAGCACACCTTTCAGACAACTGGAGCGAGAGGTGGTCTGCCCGTAATTTCATATCTTTTTGGCACGGTGTCGTGCCAGCGCCTGATCCTTTTTTGATCGGGGCGCCTGGAGGCTTCGAGCTAGGCTTGATGCACTCCTTTGTTCGCCGTGTATGTATGTAGGAAGAGGAGGAGGGGGAGGAGGAGGATAATGTGTTGGGCGCTCCAGGAAAGGCTTCGCCCTTCCAGACACCCTCGGGTCCTGGCCCCAAAAAAGCATGACGGGACTTGTTTCTCGCTGTGCTCCAGGGAACGTCCCGTTCCCCTGAGCGGCCCCGTCCCGCTTCCTCCTCAGGTCCTCCTGGCGGCCGTCGCTTCGTCGTCGTCCTCCCTTCCTGCATTGGGCGGCACAACAAAACATCGTTGTGTTCAGCCTCTGGAGGCCCTCACCAGGCCTCGGCGCCGTCAACAAACAACTTGGGATGAAACATCGGTCCCTGGCAATGGGTCCAGTAGGGGTCGAAGTTACGGAAACATCACGACGTCGGGAGTCCGGGCCTGAGGATCGAAGGAGTTGTCATTACTTCCTCGGCGGAACACGGCGGAAGCCCTTAGGAGGCCGGCGGAAGTAAAGCGGGGGCTGGCTCCACCGGCGGAAGGCCCGCGGAAGGCCAGTGGAAGTGATATTAAGTCGGCCTGTCTCTCTACAGGAGGAACTTTCAGACATGGTCAAAGCATAGTTTGTGTCCGATTGTTTCACGACTTTTGAATATTGTTTGTAGTTTTGGACTATTCTTTACTTATCGTCGAAGGTCCGCCTGTGGAGGACCACGCCCGACCTAAAAAGCATGGTAAGGCCTCTCGGAGCAGGGCTTCCCGGACTCGGCCCCGTAGGCGCGGGCGGGGGCGCGCACCAGGGGTCGAGTTGAGTCACAGGGCGGCTGCCGCGGGCGGCGCTTTGGGGCAGCCCGCCGAGGTCTGCCGGGCCCGGGGCTGTCTCCACCGGCGGAAGGCCAGTGAAAGTAAGAGAGGGGCCCCCAAGGGATGGCAAGGTCTCTATCTGAAGCCTGGCAAGGGCTGCTAAATCCGTGGCTGCTAAAACCGACCTCCGGGAAGTTGTCTTCGTCCTTCCGGGAAGAAGCCCGTTGACTGTGTCGCGTGCCGCGCCTCATTCCGGGAAGTGGTTTTTGCTTCCTTCCGGGAGGGCCGTTTTGGCAGCCACGGTTTTAGCAGCCCTCGCCCAGCTTTCGACCCTAGGTGCAGGGGGTCAGGGGTCGCGTCTCCTCCTCGTCCTCCTCGTCCTCCTCCTCGTCCTCCTCGTCCTCCTCGTCCTCCTCCTCCTCCTCGTCCTCCTCGTCCTTCTCCTCCTCCTCCTCCTCCTCCTCCTCCTCCTCCTCCTCCTCCTCTTCCTCGTCCTCCTCTTCCTCGTCCTTCTCCTCCTCGTCCTCGTCGTCCTCCTCGCCCCCGTGGGCGGGGGCGCGGGCCGCCCGCGCAGCGGCCGCGTGGAGTCACGGGGCGGCGGCCGCGGTCGGCGCTGCGGGGGGAGCCTGCCGACATCTGCCGGGCCCAGGGCCCCGAGAGGGGGGGGGGCCCTTTCAGTGGAGGCCCATGCCAAGAGACCCTCCTCCTCCTCCTCCTCCTCCCAAATCCCCTCCTCCTCTCCTCCTCCTCCTCTCCTCCTCCTCCTCCTCCTCCTCCGCCTCCTCCTCCTCTCCTCCTCCTCCTCCTCCTCCTCCTCCTCCTCCTCCTCCTTCTCCTCCAACCCCGATCGCCGTCTGCGGTGCGATAGCCGCGGCTTGCCCGCTCTGGCCCCTGGGCCCCCTGGAAACCGCGCACCCCATATACAGTGGAGACCCATGCCAGGAAGCGCTCTGCTTGCCTCCAGGGTGCCCTGGGTCTCTCGGGTTCCGGTGGTCTTGCCGTGGAAAGCGTGACGCTCTCGCACCAGAACTCGATGGACGCCTTGGCGTCTCAGGGTTGGGTTTCTTGTTTAAGGTTTGTTGTGGACTGGTATCCACTGTACCCCCGCGCTCCTGGCCCCAGGCCCCTGCGAGCAGCGCCGCCGTCGAGTGAGTTCGGGCAACGCGTTCAGTAAGGACGCGCGCCTTCGTCTAGGGTATCCTGAGTTTCTTAATGATCGTCGTGAGGACGTCACCCCCGCCGACAGCCCCACATCGACCCCCGCCGCGGGTAGCCTCCGCTCGCCGAAGGCATCCGACCCCCGTCGGGGGGGTCACCCCCCCCCACGCTCATTAAGAAACCCAGAGTGCACTTGTGTCCTTGCCTCTGCGGTCCGTCCTCTGCCCTTCTTCTCGTTGTCCGCCCGCCGCCCCAGAAGTCCCAACTTCGGCCTCCAGGGACCTTGCGTCCTTACCACCCGCCCTCAATACAGTCGGGGCGCTGAAGAAGGAACCCTTTTCGTTGGGGAGGGGCTCCGCGTTCCTTACATGTTTCGCAGCTTGCCTCAGGTTTTCCTTAGGTTTTCGACAGGAAATCGAAGTTTAACTTATGGAAAATAGGGGCCTCGTTCCTTATTGGAGAGGCCTGACGGCCGGTGCCGCCGACCCTGATCGAAAGGGCTAGGAGTGGGGGGAGGAAGCGGAGGATGAGGAGGAGGAGGAGGAGAAGGAGGAGGAGCAGGAGGAGGAGAAGGAGGAGGAGGAGGAGGGCCTCCTTCCTTACTGTAGGGTTCCTTTTAGGTCAACGCCCCGACGGTACACGCTTGGGCCGTGGGCCCGCGCGGCGCGCCGCCGTGGCCCGCGGCCTGCGCGCGGTACGCGGGCGCTCCTCGGCCCCGCCCCCTCCCCTCCCCCCGGAGAGGCAGGGCGCGCCCTTGCGCGCGGATGCCCCTCCTCCCTCCTCCTCCTCCTCCTCCTCCTCCTCCTCCTCTCCCTCCTCCTCCTTCCACCTCCTCCTCCTCCCTCCCTCCTCCTCCTCCTCTCCTCCTCTCCCTCCTCCTCCTCCTCCTCCTCCCTCCTCCTCTCCTCCCCTCCCCTCCTCCTCCTCCTCCTCCTCCTCTCCTCCTCCTCCCTCCTCCTCCTCTTCTTCTCCTCTCCCCTCCCCCCTCCTCCCTCCTCCCTCCTCCCTCCCTCCCTCCCTCCTCCCTCCTCCTCCCGGGGTCGCGCGTCGGTCGCCAATCTGCGAGGGTCCGTGCACGGATGGGCTCGTCGGCCGCGAAGGGGCATCGAGGGCAACAGGACCCCTTTTTTATCCCTGATGGCATAGGGAAGCCGCGGCCTTACTCGGGTCCCCGCCCGCATTCGGGGTCACGGATTTGGGCGGTGCGTTTCGATGCATCTGCAGAACAGACCCCTTATCCCTGATGTTCCTGGCCCTCCTAAGTCAGGTCCGCTCCCAAAGGGTCAGGGGTCCTGTGATTGCCCATCAAGAGAGCAGGGCATGCCGACGACGCTGTCCTTCCGCCGTGCTCGTCGTCGCCTCTTCGCGCCACCCCGGGGGCCCGCGTTGCTTTGGCTGGATTCGCCTCGGAATCCCAGTCGGAACGCACGCTGTGAGAGATCCGGGGGCAGCGGTGTCCGCGTCCTCTTGCTCCCCCACCCCTTTCAGGAAGGATGGCTCCCACTTCCGCTCCGAGAACACCATCAAGCGGCTGCAGATGTACAAGTCGAAGCCCAACATCGCCAAGATGAAGGAGCAGCCGAAGGGGCCGCGCCGCATCCAGCCCGACCGGCGCTGGTTCGGCAACACGCGCGTGATAGCCCAGGGCAAGATGCAGGCTTTCCGGGAGACCATCAGCAAGGGAGTCGAGGATCCTTTCCAGGTGGTCTTGAAGTCCTCCAAGCTGCCAATGTCCCTGCTGCGCGACACGGAGGGTAAAGCCTCGAAGATGGATTTGCTTTCCATCTCGCCGTTCCAGGAGACCTTCGGCAAGAGGAGACAACAGAAGCGGGCAAAGCTCGGCAGCTACGACATGGAGGGCCTCATATCCGCGGTGGAGCAAAAGTCGGAGGAGTACGACGACAAACAGTTGCAGCGAGCGAAGCTGGGGGATACCGCCGATACTTCGATGGGTCATGCGAAGGAGGAGATCTTTGACAAGGGCACGTCTAGGCGAATCTGGTCAGAGTTGTGGAAGGTGGGCCAGAAGGGCATGGGGAGGACGGCGAGGAGATGCGAGGAGGAGGACGAGGAGGGCGGAGGGACGGGGGCGGGGGGGAGACCCGTCTCGACCAGGCATTCGGGAGTCAGGCTTGCGGTGGCTGGGGTTCGATCAAGGAACGAGGCCGAGGAAGACGTCGACGGCGACGAGGATCCAGCGGTTGCGGCGAGGACGGCCTTGAAGACCCAGAAGTGTGGGAAAGCAAGCGAAAACCTATCGATCTCCTTTCCAGGGTCCTGTTAGATCCGATCGATCTGATTTCATACCGATTTCAGCCGACCCGGTCCCATTCGGTACTGATATTCTGGCGCTCCGATGCGGCCCGGTGCTTTTACGGCGCCGCTGTGCATCTTGGCGCGGCCGATGCGATTCGATTCCGACTCCACGCCGATGTGGCTCGATTCGGCGCTGACTGATCCTGGCCACCTCCGCTGGCAGGTCGTGGATTCCTCGGACGTGCTCGTGTTCGTGCTCGACGCGCGGGACCCGATGGGCACCCGCTGCCGGGCACTGGAGGCGGAGCTGCGGAAGAACCGGGCCCACAAGCACATCGTGCTGGTGCTGAACAAGGCCAGGGGCTCGCTTGAAGTCGGGCATGTCCCTCTACAGGCTGACTTTCCAGAAATAGTAACACATAGTCTGGGGGACGATTTTTTGGGATTACTTAAACTATGTTTGAATATGTCGTGCCTAGTTTAACCTTTCTCTCCCAACGTCCGCCTGTAGAAGGGCATGCCCGACCTAAGGCTCGCTGCGATCACTGGGGACGGGAAGGATGGTTCGGGGCTGGACAGAACCCACAATAGTGACACGTCGATTAGTGAATTGTCCGTTTTCGGTTCTCGAGAGGGCGCCGTGGCCGTCAGTTTCCAGGCTTTCGCCCGCCAGATTTGGGCCCGAGGTCGTTTTCACTAAACCACGTTTTGCTAAAGGGGGTTCTGTCCATCCCCGATTCCTGCCAGTTTTGAACAGGACTCACAGTCGGTGTCGCCTCGAGCATAGTCCGTTCGAGTCGAGAGGTCGCCTGCCCAACAGCGGCCGCTGCCTTCTTGGGACCACCTTTTGGCCTTTGGGCATCGTGCCCATGTTGTCCTTGCAGTCAAGACGCTGAAATCAGGGCCTCTTCGGGTTCGAACGGGGCTCGCTGTTCCTTAGATCATTCCGAGGTTGTTCCTCCAGCCCTCCCCGTGCACCCAGGCTCGTTTGGGTGGCAAGTTTCCTATTTAGCGTTCCTGATTGCAGCAGCTTGACTGTGCCCTCTTTTGGGCACAGGTCTCCCGGTGCTTTCTTGAGGGGGCCGTGTCCTGCCGTCGCGCACGGACCGCATGCTGGAACCAAGGCGCAGTTGGAAGTGTTGCAGAGGATGTGTAAAGGCCTTCCTCCGGCGAAGGCCGCCGCATCTTGGGCCGACGCGCGCACAGAAATGTTCTGCCCCAGCGGCCAGTCCCTGGCAGGTGTTCTGCCCTTGGATCCTGGGAGTTAGCGGTGCATTGTCAAAGCCCTACATGTCAGGAGGGAAAAACACACAGACGCAAGTCATCACTCCCAGTAGACAATGGGAACATGTGGGAAGTGCGGGGGGAGACGAGATCCCAGAAACCATGCAACGCATATGGGGAATTGTGGGATTTGTGTCTATGGATTCGTGTGTCCCAGGGCCCCCTTCCATACTGCGCATGCCAAAAGGACAGGGGACGTGGGCACTCCTCGTGGCCACGGCACGTGCTCGTCGCGTCGTGCCCGCGCGGAGGCGGCCAGATCGTGGCCGCTCCAGGCCGAAGCGTGGACCGCCGCCGTGAGGCCCGCAGGTGGCGGCTTTTGAGCGACCTTGCGCATGCAGTGGGGGCCCGTGCCAAGAAGTACCCTGCTCCTCCTCCTCCTCCTCCCCCCCCCTCCTCGTGCCCCTCCTCCTCCCCCTTCTCCTCTTCCTCCTCCTCCTCCTCCTCCTCCTCTTTCTCCTCCGCCTCCTCCTCCTCCTCCATCTTCTCCAACCACGATCGACGTCTGCGGTGCCCTGGGTTTCTTGGGTTTCGATGGTTTTGCGATGGAAGGCGTGACGCTCCCACGCCACAAATCAGTTGTTGCCCCAGGGTCTCAGGGTTGGGTTTTTTGTAGGAGGTTTCTTGTGGTCGGGCCCCTACGGCATCAGGAAGCCACGATCCTTCAAGAAAGCACTCGGGAAAAGACAAGGCCCTGATACCGCCACCCTTACCCTTTTTCGGCCTCCTGGGAGGCCTTCGTCTCCACCGCCGGATTCGCCTCGATATTTTAGGACGTGGCCCAGGAGAGGTCCGGGGAGTAGTGGTATCGGTGCCTGTTTGTTTCCCCAGTGCCAGAAACCAACGCACAAGTCGTCACGACTAGAACTTGACGTACGGGTTCAAGGATAGATGGGGTCTGGAAGATCGTTGGTCGAGAAGGGTCGAGGACTGATGATTCTGCTTGTTTTCTCCACCCAGCAGGTTGCTTCTGGCACGTCTGCAGGACCAGTATCCTAAGGCCGCCAGGCCCCAACTACCTAGACCCCCGACGTCATGTTTTTTTCATAACCTCGATCCCCAGAGGACTCGACCCATTCCCCGGGACGGGCTTCTCATCCGGAGTCCTTCTTTCACGGTCCCGAGGCCCAGCGAGGGCCCCCGGAGGCCGGAAATGGGGGGGGGAAAAAAAGTCCCGTCATGATTTTTGCCATTCTTCGAGGGGCCCTGGGAAGCGGTCCCTGGGTACTCCAGATTTCGTAATAAAAGGGAGGGGGTCTCAACCCTCCCAGACGAGAAGTTTTAGACCCCCCCCTGGGAGAACCCTCCAAAACATCGTCCCCAGACCCACCCCCCCAGGCCCTCCAAGATAGCTTGGAAGAGACCCCTCCGAAATGAGACCCCCCTCCCTTTATTACGAAATCTGGAGTATAGCCCGCCTCCACCCCGCGCACCGCAGCCGCCGGCCCCGGGGCCAGGCGCCGAGGCTGCGGGGGGTGTCCCCGGGCAGCCCGCCGCTGCGCACCGCAGCCGCCGGCCCTGGGCTTAAGTCGGGCCTGCCCCTCTACATCGGGCGAAGAGAACTATGCACATGCACCGATCCTGACAACGCCCATCCTTAACCCAGGATCGGTGCATATACCTCCCTGGCCAAGGTAAGAGGGCGTATGCACCGATCCTGGACTCAGGATGGGCCTGACCAGAATCGGTGTATGTGCATAGTTCTCTTTCCTTTATCTACACGGGGGAAAAAAAAACATAGTCGGGGGACGATCGTTTGACTACTTTTGAGCACGTTGGGGCATTTTTGGGGGTAGTTTGTGCCTTTCGCCCCAAATCCCCCTGTAGGGGGACACGCCCGAGCTGGCCCTGGGCCAGGCCCCAAGGCGGCGGGGGGGGGGTCCCAGGGCCAGCCCGCCGCGCCCGCCCTGCAGGCGGCAGCCGCCAGTCCTCTACATGTCAAGTCCGGCCTGTCCCTCCACAGGAGGAGTATTCGAAAATGGTCATAAAATGATCCGGAGACGATGTCTTGAGCATGTTTGCTATTTTTGACTATTTGGGACTATTTTTTCATGTTTCGCCCCAAGATCCGCCCGTAGGCATGCCCGACCTAGCTCTGCAGCCAAGACGCTGAAGGAGGACCACTTTGGGCTCCGAAGGGGCCTGAGTTTTCCGGCTGTTCCTCAGATGTTTGTCTCGGCACTTGCTTTTGGCCAGGCCCGCCGTGGAAAGGCCCCCTCGGTGCCTTATGATGCGTTCCTATCATGGTAGCACGATGACTGTACAAGACTCCGGGTGGCCCCTGGTCATCCCGCGTCGTCCGCGCTGTATACCGCGGCCGCCGGGCCCCAGACGCTGCAGGTTCGCGTCGGGCCGACCGGCGGCGACCCCACCGCGTGCCTTGAAGGCTGAGCACCAGCGCCGGGGTCGACACGACGCGAGCCTGCCGTGCACCCCCGAGGATGCGATGGCGGCACGATGCGCAAGCCTCTTCAGAGTGCTCGCAGCTGTAGCTCACCACCCACAAAACGACCCCAACCCAACCCGAAGGCTCAGATATACCCTCGATTTCCAGTGGGGGGGGGTCGGGAAACATCGAACAAAACTCGTGTGGAACCCTTACCCCCCCCCAACCCGAAATTCGGGTCTTCGGGTTGGGTTGGGGTGGTCTGGTAGGTAGTCAGTAGCAGACAGCCTCGTCAGGGCGGCGTCGCGCCGTGCGGGCGTCACGATGTCGCGCCGACCACACCGAGCATAGGATGAGAGCATACGAGCAGGCATGCGAGCATAGCACAGAACAATCGGGTCGGGCGAAAGGGGGGGTTTGGGAAAGGGGGGGGTACGAAATCTGCTGCATGCAGCTGGTCCTGGCCCCACCGAGGGGCCCATTCCTCGATACATAAGCGCCAAATCAGCTACCTGAGCTGATTCTCAAACCCCCCCTTTGCTATCGCCCCCTTTCGCCCGACCCGAAACAAGCACGCATACAGTGGAGACCCATGCCAAGGAACACCCTGCTCGCCTCCAGGGTCCCCCTGGGTTTCTTCGGTGTCGATGGTGTTGCTATGAAAAGCGTGACGTTCCCGCACCAAAAATCGATGGACGCCCTGGGGTCTCAGAGTTGGGTTTCTTGTGGAAGGTTTCTTGTGGGCGGACTCCTACTGTAACATACGAACGTCCGTTCAGAACGTGCATCAAGGAGAAACAGCGAGAATGGGCATCTAGAGCACAAACACCAACGAGATGCACCGAGAGCATTTGCAGATACAAGCCACCAGCAGCGCACAACATTAGCAGGCGCCACGAACAGACCCTTCAAGCGGGCATCAATCTATTGGATGGAGAACCTGCATCATTTCATTCAAGAAGGCATTCACCAATCACATACACCAGCAGCATGTCTGCATCACCGGCACTAGTAACATGCAACACTGACATAGAACAAGGCTTGGCATTCACCAACAGAGTGCGCTGAGACTGTTCAACCATAAGAGATACCGATACTCACCCCGAGAGCATGCGCCGATGCCATACACCCGTAACAGGCGCCCAGAATTTGCACCGATACTTTGCACCAGAGGCATACATCCAGAGCAGACGCGAGCGCCAGTCACGCATCACAGCCATGTACTGGAAGAGCAGGCACCACGACCATATTCCCGAAGCAGGCACCAACGTCATGAGCCAACAGGAGACCTCGGCAGCACGCACCCCTACCAGACACCACCAAGATACGTTCAGAGCAGCCGTCACGAGCGCATCATCAATTAATGAGCATAGGCCAATCACAGACGCCCAGAGCAGACACCAACCATACGGTGGGGGGGGCGCTGGTTAAGGAATGTGCCCAGCAGGCTTCACGCCCCGGAGGATTCCTTCTCCGATGAGGGCGGCGTTGATATTTCCATTACCAATCCAATAAGGGAGATCCACCAGATTCCAGACCCTGGATCCCTTATCGAAGGATCCACTGTCCAATGCCCCCCACCGTGCCTGAGAGTGGCTGGTGCGGGACCCGCAGAAATGCACGAATTCACTCACGGGCCTCACGGCCCTTGAACTGGGGGTGGATCGACCTCCTACCCTGACACGTCGATTAGCGAATTGGCCGTTTTCCGCTCGCGAGGGGGGCGTCGCGGCCGTCATCTTTGCGGGTCCAGGTCCGTCGGTTTCGGTCCCGGGCCGTTTTCACTACAGGGAGGTCTCTGCTAAAGGGAGGTTTGTCCACCGCCGATTGCAGGGCAAACAGAAGGGCCCCCACCGCGCACAATCCTCCTCCTCCTCCTCCTCCTCCTCCTCCTCCTCCTCCTGCTCCTCCTCCCCCTCCTCCTCCTCCTCCTCCTCCTCCTGCTCCTCCTCCCCCTCCCCCTCCCAGGCGCCGAGGGCAGGCAGCAGTGCCACTCGCTCGGGGAGCCAAGCGGCGGGGTGGCGGACGGCGGGGGGGGGGGGGCGACGACGGGCGGGCAGCGGCCGAGGCCCCGGGCAGGCCCACGCCCAAGCGCCCCTGGAGCGGAGCCCGCCTGGAGGAGCATGGAGGAGGAGGAGGAGGAGGAGGGGGAGGAGGAGGAGGAGGAGGAGGGAGGAGGAGGAGGAGGAGGAGGAGGAACAAAAGAAAACATTGTCAGCCAATGGTCTGGGGACGATATATTTTGAGATTTTGGTTTGGCCACTGGTGGGCAGTTGTGTTGAGCTTTCTTTGTTTTTGCATTCTTCGCCCCAAGTCCGCCTGTGGGAGGACGTGCCCGAAGTAAGCCTACGGGAGGAGCAGGGGCAGGAGCAGGAGCAGGAAGGGGGAAGGAAGGCGAGGGAGGGAGAGGAGGTGGAGGAGGAGGAGGAGGCTGAGAAGGTGGACTTGGTGCCCACGTGGGTCTCGCGGAAGTGGATCCAGGTCCTCATGAAAGAGTATCCCACGTTGGCGTTCCACGCATCCATCTCTAACCCTTTTGGCAAGAACGCATTGCTGAATTTGTTGAGGCAGTTCAGTACCTTGCTGTCGGAAAAGAAGCACGTGACTGTCGGCATGGTTGGCTACCCGAATGTTGGGAAGTCCTCTGTCATCAACACGCTGAAGCGTAAGAAGGTTTGCAAAGCAGCCCCTGTGCCTGGGGAGACGCGCGTCTGGCAATACATCGCTCTTACGAAGAGGCTGTACATGCTGGATTGTCCTGGCATCGTGCCGCCGACAGCCAGTGACTTCAGCGAGGATACCGCGAAGGTGCTTAAGGGTGTGGTGCGGGCAGAGCGCATCAAGGTGCCGTCTGATTACATCGGCGAGGTGCTCAACCGGGTGAAGACCAAGTACTTGATTCAGAAGTACAAGCTGTCGCCCGAGACGAAGTGGGAGGACTCGGAGGCGTTCCTCTCCATCGTCGCGCAAAAGATGGGCAAGCTCAGGAGAGGCGGCGAGGCGGACATCGACGCTGTGGCGCGGATCGTGCTGAACGACTGGCAGCGCGGGAAGATCCCGTACTTCTCGAAGAAGGAACATCGGCATTGACATAAACTTGTTGGCGCTCCGCGCGGATCTCTTGGATCCGCGCCGGGGCCTCCCGGGCGGCGCCTCCGGCGCCGCCCCTGGCGCGCTCCGCGCACCAGGGAGGGCGCTCCGGCGCAGATCCAAGACTCCGAGGCGGAGCGCCATAAGTTTATGTTGTGGCCTTTTTCCCCTCCTCGAACTTCACGATGCCGCCCGACTGCGACGACGTGGCCGACGGCGAGCCGGCGGCGAGCTCCGCGGCCGCCGCGTCGTCCTCGCAGGCCCCGGCGGCGGCCGCCCCCGAGGCGAAGGATGCCGCGGGCGAGGCTCAGGCAGTGCCAAGGGGGGTCACCACTGGGGGGTCGCCAGCTTCTCCTGGAAATCGAGGTTCCAGGATGGAGAGTCGAGGGGTCGAGGATGTTCTTGGACGTTTCTTTGCATTTTCGGGGCTCTGGGGGGCCCAGTTCCTCGAGGAAGTTTCGAGGAAGTGGCGTTTCCTCGAGGAAGTGGCGACCCCCCTAGTGGTGACCCCCCTTTGCACTGCCCCAGAGGCCGACGCCGCGGCGCCCGCTGCGGGCGACCAGGTCGACGCCGCGGCCGCGGCCTCGGCCGCCGTCCAGGAGTCGCTCAACGACCTGCGGGGCCTGAGCTGCTCGCTGGCCTACGACGAGGATGGGCGGCACCCATGCGCTCGGCGGCGAGCGAGCGGGGGAAGCGAGGAGGAGAAGGCCTTCTTAGAAGGCGGAGGGACTCCTCAGAAGCCCTCGCGCATTCTGAGAAGTTTTTTCTGTGTCTCTTGGGAAGGCTCAGGAGACCGTTCATAAGGCCGGGGAGCTTCCGAGCTTTCTGAGAGGGCCCGCCCCTCTCTTTTCCACCTGGGCGCGCCGCCCATACACTCAGAGGAGGAACTCATACGTAGCACCCCGCAGTTGCAGATACGAGTGGGGGGGGCGGGGCGCGGGGGGGTTGCGGTTAAGGACGAGGAGGACGATTTCATTCCTGAGTGTTGAGGGCGCGGCATCTCAAGTTAAACCCAGAGAAAGTACAACGTAAGAGAGCCGATTCTGGAATCTATTGTGAGGAGGTCCCGCGCGAGAGCGCGATTTTGAACAAGTTGCCAGGATGTGTCAGGTTGGAGTAGGTGTTGTTGTTGTTGTTGCTGCTGCTGCTGTTGTTTTTGTTGTTGGTAGTGGTGTTGTTGTTGATGTGTTCGTCATAGGGCGGGAAGCTGGGTGTGGGTGGTGGCGAAGAGTCGTTTGGAAATTTGGTAGAGCTTGAACCGGCCCCCCCACAAAGTGGGGGTATTGCCCGCCTCCTATGAAAACCCTGGCACTGGTGAGAACGGAGTGTCCCCACGTGCTAGTAATTGTTGTTGTTGTTGTTGTTGTTGTTGTTGTTGTTGTTGTTGTTGTTGTTGAACATTATTAATTCTAAAGAATAATTATTGTTGGGCCCCTGGTGCACGGCCCCCCTGCGCCGCCTAGGCCGCAGCTACATTTTCATCATTTTCGTGAGGAAGCCTCAGGTAATTCGATGTGATCAAGATCCGGTTGTTTTGTTGTAATCCGCTTTCCCTTGCAAAAAACACTATAAAATGACATTTCTTGTTCTAATATAATCAAATTTCAAGAATCCCTTGCAAAAAATAAGGTAAAGTGGACATTCGCGCGCGCAAGACGAAATCCTTCCAAAAGCTTAGTGTTCGGAACGATTTCAACATAAAAACATCAAAAAACTAATGGTTTTTCAACAAAAAAATGTCAAAATCTCATCCCGCGCGCTCTTGCGGATTCGTAGGAAACCCAACACTTTTTAAACATTTCTGTCAAACGGGCTTTTGCGAGCAACTTTTTCGAACTTCTGCGACAACGGTTGCGCACCTGCCAGGGCCATCATCCCTGTCAAATAATACCATGCGGGACACATTCGTTTTTTCTTCGCGCGCGCACGCCGAAATCTCCAAAAACCATTGGGCTTCTTAAGAATTTTAGCACCGCGCATCATAAAATCACACGAATCGCACCGTAGGTCCTCGAAAAACACCTGCACGACTTTTCAAAATTTCTACCCGCGCGCGCTGTCCTAACAACTTCTGTGGGTGTGTACTCCACGCCAGTGTAGTAGCCACGGTCGTCCGCAGGCCACGAAGTGAAGTGTCCGAACGTCATAGGGCGGGAAGCTGGGTGTGGGTGGTGGCGAAGAGTCGTGTGGATATTTGGTAGAGCTTGCACTGCCCCCCCACAAAGTGGGGGTATTGGCTGGCGTCGCATGAAAACCCTGGCACTGGTGAGAACACTGAGCGTTCGGGTAAAGTGATTGTTGTTGTTGTTGTTGTTGTTGATGTTGTTGTTGTTATTGTTGTTGTTGTTGATGTTGTTGGACTTCCACTTCTGAATAATAACTATTGTTGATCCCCCCTGCCCGGTGCACGTTTATTTTTTTGTCAATTGAGGTGCCCCTTTGGGGGCTCGCACCTAGTCTTTAATCGGGGGAAATTTTAAGCCTCAATTTGCGCCCCTGGTCCCCGAGTTACATCAGCAACGGCTTTCGCCTGATATTTCCTCACACTTTATTTCAAATGCGCGCTCTCACTCGGGACTTCCTCAGACTTGATGCAGAAAGGCGCTCTCGCCTGGGACTTCCTCGCAATGTATTCAAGCGTCGCGCCGAAGCCTTAGGAATCATGCTGTCGCTCTGGCATTTCTCACGATTCATTTGGGAGTCGCGCCATCGCTCGAGATTTTTTTCGCCATTCATGCTCGCGTTTCAGCAACCCGCCTGCTGGACCTGGCCGCTTGGGCCCGCCTTCCCGACCCGCGTGATAGCCCGATCTACCCGTCTGGTTCTGCCACGTGTATTCTGCTCCCCCTCGTGCTACTCCCTTTCGTGCTCCATCCTTCTCCCTCCCCCTTCCATCCATCCGCTCTCGGCCCTTGTTCTAGGGGCTGCGCCAAATGCGCGTGGCAGGTAACGAAGTTATGCCCCAAGGGGGTACGATCCAAGACAATGAGGGCAGGTACCGAGGGCTTGGGATATACGCATGGAATGGTGAGCGAGCAGGTAACAGCGAACAGTCTTACAATGATTGTCGCTGTTGTTGTAATAATTTGGGAGCTAGGGGGCTGATGTGAGCCTCAACAGTTTTCCTTGTTAAAAAGCCGTGTACGAGCCCGGGAGGAACACTTTGTAGTAAAAAACCAAAGGTGCACTGGAGGGGGAAATCAACAATAGTTATTCTTCAGAAGTGACGCGGCAGCGCAACACCGCACCACGAATCGGTAGGTTCGCGGCGTGTCGACCAGCGGCGACCCCGCCGCGAGCGTTCAACGTTGAACGCCGCCGGCTACCCAGAATCGGCCGATGTTGCACGATCTGGCGTTTCGGAGACGGCCAATCGTTCAAGGTTGAGCGATCCCCGCAGTGTCAGGATTCAACGCCGGGCATGCTTGCTTGGCGTGTTGCGCAGCTGGTTTCGCCGCGCTCTGGCCCTGCGCGCCTGGCTGCTGCTGCCCCCCCGGCTGCGCATCGTCGAGCTCTTCGGCGTCTGAGCGTCCCGTCTCCCTCTCGGCCGTCCCCCCTTTCCCTCTTCTGCTCGCCGGCCCATTCGCTGCTTGGTGCCCCCATCCAGCTTTTCTCGCCGGAGCACGGTTCACCGTAAGTGTGTAGTGCTACAGTCGCAAGTGCACAGCAGTAAGTGCACAGCTGCGTTCTGTAGTACCGTGCACGGTGCACGGTACTACAGAACTAAAATGCTAAAATCCAATGCTAAAATCCAATGCTAAAATCCAATGCTAAAACCCAATGCTAAAATCTTAAACCTTATGCTAAAATCCAATGCTAAAACCCAATGCTAAAAGCCAATGCTAAAATCCAGTGCTAAAATCCAATGCTGACGGCGCAAGCGTTGCGCAGCTGGTCCTGGCCCACCACTGGAGTACGTGATCGTCTACAGAATTCATTTACCCCAAAATCGATTTTCTCGTCGAGTCATACGTAGGATGTTTGTATATTTGCGAACGTTCTACGCGTTTCCAATGGATTCGACGAGAAAATCCATTCGGGGGTAAATCAATTCTGTGGTCGATCCCCTACTCGAACCACTGGCCCGCCACGCCTCGGCGCGCGGCGTGCCGACTCCCGCGAGCCGCCCTCCCTCTCGGAGCGGAGCGGCACGCCGTGCCCGCGTGCAGGGCACGGGGTGCCGCAGCGGCCCCCGCCGCGAGACGCGAAGCAACGGGTCTCCTGATCGCAACCGGGAGGGGAAGAAACGAAGAAACACACAGACACAAGGAATCATCGATTCCCCGAGGGAAGATCTGGGGAAATATGAGAAGGGGGGGGGAGACAGAAACCCAGAACATATGGGAAACTATGGGGAACCTTCTTATTTGTGTGTGTATTTCTTTGTGTGCCCCGGGCCTCTTCCAGATCTCCCGATTGTGAGGGGTGTGCGGGCGGGTGGGGGCGGCCCTCCCGGCGGGGCCCTGGGGCTCGCCCAAAGGAGCCCTCGGGAGGCGAGGGGGGATGGGCAAGTTCTCCACCCTTGCCATCTGCGGGACGGGGGAGAAGGGGGGAGGAGGAGGCCCTCCTCCTCCTCCTCCTCCTCCTCCTCCTCCTCCTGCTCCTCCTCCTCCTGCTCCTCCTCCTCCTCCTCCTGCTCGAGCTCCTCCTCCTCCCCCCTCTTCTGCTTGTGGCTGTGGTCACGCAGCGGGCGTCGGCCCCGCCGCCGGGCGCCTTCTCGGCAGGCCGCCCCGCCCGCGCCGGAGGTCACCCCGGCAGGGGCGCACGGCAGGCTCGCGTCGCGGCGACCGGCGGTGTCCTCGCCGCGGGCGTTTAAGGCTGAGCGCAGCCAGTTCGGCACGAACGAAATGGGCACGTAAAGAAATGGTACAATGCCCAACAGCAAATGTTGCCCCAAACCAACAGCGGCCGCTGTTGGGCGGCCTTCTGTCTCGAATGGACAAGCCGCGGCGGCGTGGACAGCGAGTCCTGTCCAAAATAAACAGGACAGGACAGGACAGGACAGGACTCGGACTCGCTGTCCACGCCGCCGCGGCTTGTGCCCATTTGAGACAGAAGGCCGCCCGCCCAACAGCGGCCGCTGTTGGTTTGGGGCAACATTTGTTGTTGGGCATTGTGACCATTTTTGTCCGTAACCATTTCGGGCGTCCAAACCAGTGGCTCAGAATCGGCCTGCATGGAACGATCGGGCGATTGGCAAGCCGCCGATCGTTCAATGTTGAGCGATCGACGCGGTGTCAGAAACCAGCGCCAGGGTCGTCACGACATGAACCTGCCGTACCAAACAAGAAGCCCGGGCTGCCACTGAGTGCCCCATGATCTTTCCTCCTCTCTTGATCGGAAGTCCAGCCTTGGGGCGCCTTGCGAAGCTTAGAGTCGACGAGGGATGCGGGGATGCGCCCTTCACGTATCGTGTGTGCATGCTGTACCCCGAGATCCAATGTCTCGATGATTGTTCCATACGGATCCCTGGAAGTCCCTACCCCTTCCCAGAGATCGGCTTCTCGTCCCGAGACGTTTTTTTCTGGCCGGGGCCTGGCGAGGGCCCGCGGAGGCGGAAATTCTGAAACATCTCCATTCATGTTTTTGGTTCTGTAGCAGGGAAACGTTGGAGATCTGCTTCATCACCCTAGTAACACAGTGAAGACGTGGCCGCACGTAGGTCCCCGTCCTTGCATCAGGGGTCATACATTTGAGCGGTGCGTTTTGACACATCTGTGCATGAAAAAAGGCCCCCTGTACCTAATGTGTTTGGCCCTCCTTAACTGAGGTTCCATCCTAATGGGTGAAGGGTCATTTTATCGCGAATCACTGTATGCCCGCGCCCCCGACAGGAGTTCCCTCCTAACGGGTTCAGTGTCATTTTATCGCGAATCGCTGTATGCCCGCGCCGCCGACAGGAGGACCGCCGAGGAGAGGCGCCGGGGGCGGACGGCAGCGGCGAGGAGGCCGCCAGCGACGACGGTGAGGCGGCAGGCACCGCCGGCGGTGCCGCGGCGTCGTCCGCAGCGGCCGCCGGCAGGAAGAAGCCGAAGAGGCGGAAGGCCTTCAGGGACGACGTTCGCGGGGGTCCAGAGATCCGACGCTCCTCAAGAACATCGGAGCTGCCGATGTTTTTGACCGTCTTCGGCTTCTGGGGGCCCTCGCAGGGCCTCGGGGGCCGTCGACAGAACGGCTCAGGACGAAGAACCCGGCCCTAATTTTATGATGCTCCACCTACTTGAGCCTTGATCACCAGACAGAATTTCGAGCGCCCCAAAAAGTCCCGAAACTCAATGGTTTTCACGTGCCGGGCCTTGGGAGACACTCGCCCGCCACTGTTTCGACGCTGTTTCGACACTCTTTTGGCATTTTTCCCGGGTGCTCGAAATTAGTTTTGAGATGCGGCCCTTAAGTAGGATGGGAAGCACATACCCATCGGTCGTTGAAAGTAGGTATTTTTGGATTCCCTGATTTCAATCTACTTTCAGCGCCTTCCTACTTCAAGAGTCGAGTGGTTTTCCCTCTTCCTTCTTCTTCAGGAGGCGTGCGGAAGCCCAATCTATTTCCAACGCCTTCCTACTTCATGTTTCTACCTACTTCTTCCGACCGATGGGTAACCCGAATTGGGGAAGTGGTCCAGACTTCTGGGGCCCACGCGTCCGGCAAGCTCCGCAGCGGCCCGCCGTCCTGGGGGGATACGTGGATCGCCGCCGGGGGCTTGGAGCCGCCTGGGGCGTCCGTGGCCCGGAGGCCGAGGTGGCCCAGCACCGGTTCGGCCGGTTTGAGACGACGGACACGGGAGTGTCGACACGGACATTGCTTTCACGTTGGGTCAAGAGGGGCGCGGAGAAGTCGCGGGCCAGACGGCTCCTGTATGACGATCGCTGACTCTATGTGGTCAGCCCTCGATCGTCGTGAGGAAAAAAAAATGGCCCAGCACCGGTTCGCGCAGGCAGGGGGGGGGCAGGGGTCGAGGTGCTACAGTGGAGGCCCATGTCAAGAGACACCCTGCTTGCCTCCAGGGTGCCCTGGGGTTTTCCTGGATTTCGATGGCTCTGCTGTGGAGAGCGTGACGCTCCCACGCCGAAAACCGATGGACGTCTTGGTTCTCAGGGTCGGGAATCTTGTGGAAGGTTCCTTGTGGTCGGGCCCCTACTGTAGGTTCGAGGAGGTTTTCTCTTGTTGGTTGGGCCTCGGGGGAGGGGAGGAGGAGGGAGGAGGAGGAGGAGAGGAGGAGGAAGAGGAAGAGGAGGAGGAGGAGGAGGAGGAGGAGGGGAGGGGGAGGGGGAGGAGGAGGAGGAGGAGGAGGAGCAGGAGATGGAGGAGGAGGATGATGATGAGGAGGAGGAGGAGGACGAGGAGGAGGAGGGGAGGAGGACGAGGAGGAGGAGGAGGAGGAGGAGGAGGAGGAGGAGGAGGAGCAGGAGAGGGAGGAGGCGGAGGAGGAGGAGGAGGAGGACCAGGGGCTGCTTCCGGGCTGCGGGACCGTCTCGAGCTGGGCCAGGGTGCAAAGCTGCACCAGATGGACCCCGGGGTCCGAGGACCGACTGGAGTGGATTTGGCTTAGCCTTAGGTCGGGCATGTCCCTCTGAGGAATATTGAAAAATAGTCAAACAATAGTCTGGGAACCATTTCTTGAATATTTTTGACCATGTTGGAGTATTTTGGGGCTATTTGTTATTTTTCGTCGAAAATCCCCCTGTAGGGGGACAGGCCCGACTTAAGCTTAGCCCTCCCTCTTGATCTGCTTTTCTGGGGCCCCATACAGTTTAGAACCCCCTGGCCGTCCCCAATCGGGGGGGGTCAGGGGATACGAGGGCTAGAAGTGGATACCAAGGTGGATTGATCTGGCCTGAGTACACTGGCCCTCCAGTAGGTTACAAGTGCCCCCTCAATGGCTCAGGGTGGTTCAGTAAACTTTATTACGTGGGCTCCGCCCACTCCGCCTGGATCTGTACGTCCTTCAGCCACGTATGGCAGTTGCAACCCGCTTCTACGCTGTCTTCGACCATATATACCAACCGGAGCATCTGCTTGTAACCCCCTATCTCCGTAGCAACCCCCGCGGCGATCCAAGCGGGGGGCGATAGGCTCAGGGGCGATCCAAGCGGGGGGCGATCCGAGTGAATGCATCGACCCCGTGTCGCCGTGTCGCTTGTTCATCGCCGATAGAGGGGCCCGCTAGCCCGCCCCGCCCAGGGACGTCCAGATTCGCGATCTGAGGCAGGCCTGTCGTCGATGCATCGGCGATTCGTCGCCGGTTCACGCCCGATGGTTTTCACCCCCCCCCGGAGTTGGTGCCCCCCCGCGTAGCCCGTCAGGCCTCAGCCGCGGCGGGCGAGGCCACGGCCGCGGAGGCCCCGAAGAAGAAGAGGCGGCGGAGAGGGTCCGCAGAAGGGGGGCAGCGACAACGAAGCACTTTTACGTCGGCGGGCACTCCAGATTTCGTAATACAAGGGAGGGGGTCTCAACCCTCCCAGACGAGAAGTTTTAGACCCCCCCCCTGGGAGAACCCTCCAAAACATCGTCCCCAGACCCCCCCAGGCCCTCCAAGATAGCTTGGAAGAGACCCCCCCCGAAATGAGACCCCCCTCCCTTTATTACGAAATCTGGAGTAGGCAGAGGGACTGCGCTGGCGAGTAGAACGAAACGGGATAACGTTAGGCGAATTCATCCACCACGCTGGAGGGAGGAGGGCTTGGGGAACAGCAGCCGGGGGACAACACGCGGCAGAAGCATGAACTTTTTGGGGTGTCGGCGCGGATTTCTCGGATCCGCGCTGGAGCCCCTTGGCGGCGTCCCTGGCGCCGCCCCGGGCGCGCTCCGCGCGCCAGGGAGGGGTGTCCAGCACGGATCCAATAGAGTGCATCCACGAGAGTATAGCCCCAAACCGATAGGTTTGGGTTGTTAGATGTTCTAAAAAGAACTCCCGTCTGTCCACCCTGCATTCTGCGGTCGTCAGACTCCGCTGGATCCCGATAATCCCTGAGTGTCCCGCCTCGCGTCCTGGACGAATTACGACACCATACCGCGGTCACCAGACCCCGCAGGATCCCGAGAGTCCTTGAGTGTCCTGCCTTGCGTCCGCGATGTCTGACGGCATATTGCATCCCAGACAGTCCCGAGGGGGAGGCGTCACGGCGTCACGTTGTCCAGGCCTCACGACGAATGAGCAAAGTGGCATGAATAACCAGCACCAAGAACACACTGCAAATACGGGCACGTATATAGCAACAAACATACGATGGCAACACCAAACATACCATACCATAACGTGACAGACTACAGCAAATGCCCAGATCCGATCATAACCCAAAATAGCAGTCGACATGCTCGACCACAGCTTGCCACAACATAGCATGACGTAAACTTATGTTTGGCTAATCTAGCATGTCCCCATCAGCCATGCCATAACCTAACACGTCACAGTATGGCAGAGCGGGTCACACCATACGATACCATACAGGAACCGATCAACACATCAGAGACTCGCTCCACTATTGCTACGACTACGGCGACCAACATGCTATACCAGGCTATACCATCATGTCAGAGCCTAATGTAACATTGCATGGCATACCATACCATTGCATGACATTACATGTCATCCAACATCATGGCATAACATACCCTGTCATGCGATGACATAGTAGACCAGAACGCGACTTCACATGGCATTGCATAATAATTTTATATATGTTAACATAACAGAGCATACCATATCATAGCTGGCCCACGGCATACACCACTGCGGCAACGAATCCAGCATTACACAAGGTGTAACACATTTGGGCCAGAGACCCATGAAGTGATCGAACATATCAAACGGGTATTACAACATTTGACATATCATTGAGCCACACATCATACCGCAACAAACCAAACCCTAACATGCCATACCATGGCATAACCGCGCACATCATTACACAGCAACGCAGAACATATCATAGCATAGCGTAAAACATATGGTAACATATCGGGCCGTACCATGGTATACCATACCAGAACTTGACAACACCCAACATGAACGTACTATGGCTGCTGCAACTACCGCAACGGCTCCTCAATCTCATTCGATATACCATATGCGGCGCAGGATGCCATAACGACACGTACCATATCATCATAAACCCGCATCGCATATAACTTAGCGTTGCGTCACATAAAGCAGTTCCATCAACACTATGCAGTACTGTTCATAACCATAACAGACATAACCTGACATACTCACAGCATAGCATGCGATTCCAAATGCTGAGCACGAACACTCCGCACAGCATACATGGAGTATAGTGACAGGTCAACGAGTTGTGAAATAGAGTGTGGAGTATAACTCACTCGGAGCGCACTACCAGACTCAGCGTGCAACACCACACCTTATACAACAGCCAGTGAGAGTGCATTTATGAGTGCAGTACCATGATATCATAGAGGAAAAACCATCCTATAATCGAATAGACCCGGATAATCTATCTTGTGCGCACAGGACACCATAACAGGACACGTGTGAGCACATCGCGTGGCGTACTACTGTTGAGTAGACCTGTGGACAGTTCCAAGATGGCTCTGAAGTGGCCCTGGAGCCTCGCATGGGCGCCCCCGGTGGCTCAACACAGTCAGACAAAAACATTGTGTTTTGTCGCTCTTTGTTCGTGCTCTCTCTCTCTCTCTCTCGCCTTTTTGCTTCCGATCGGATTTTGAAGCTTCTGGATGGCTTCCAACTCGTCCAAGATATCCCCAAGAGATTCCAAACACGGTCCAAGAACGGCCCAAGAGGCCCTCGAGACGGCCCTAGGATTGCCCAAGAGGCTCCAGAGAGGCCCCAAAGAGTCCCCAAGAGGCTCCCAAGAGGCCAAAGAGGGCCCCAAGGGAGTTCCACGACGGCCCCAGAAGGCCCCCGGAGACTCCACAGAGGCCTCCTGAACGCTCTCGGCGCCAAGATGGTCCCCGGAGGTTTCTAAAAGGCACCAAAAGTTTCCCCAAGGGACCCCCAGGACACTCTCAATCAACAGTCAAACACGAGACCCCCCTAGCGGCTCCCGTTGAGACTACAACATTTTTTTTGCAGACCTCCAATCGAAGACGCCTGAACTCACTACGGTAGACAGACACATTCCCCATCTCGCACTCCTCTTCATCCTACTGTTTTCATTCGTTGTGTTGCATTGGCCAGACCTCATGTGGGCTCATGTGGAGTTCTTGCAGGGGACAAAACCGACTCGGGTCAAGAATGCACCTGGCGAGCGCCGCGGAAAATGAAACAATGCAGGTGAAAGGGGGCATTCTTCCCCGGTAAGGAGGAGGAGGAGGAGGAGGAGGAGGAGGAGGAGGAGGAGGAGAAGGAGGAGGATTCAGGCCAGGACGCCTCGACTCCCAGTCCCCCCTGGGGCCTCCCCAGGCTCCCCCGGGAGGCTCCTGGAGCTAGGGTGTTTGCACGGACCGTTCGCGCCCAGAGTGTGGGGGGATGTCTCAGGCGGTTTGCTCCTTTGGTGGCTTGGACGTCGGTGCTTTCAGAGCAGATCGGGGGGATGTCTCGAGCGAGGCGCTGGACTCAGCACTCCCAAGGGGGGAGCCGCCAGGGCGTTTGCACGTGCCCAGTCGCGCCCAGATCGTGGGGATGTCTCGTGCTGTTGGCCTGTTTGGTGCGCTTGGACCCCGGTACTTTGGAAGCAGATTGAGAGTGGCACTCCTCTATTCGTCTTCGTGGGCGTTGGCTCCTCATGGTGGTGGCGATTCTGATCGTCCAGGGCTTGCAGCTCCTGCCCCGGCGCAGGCTCGCATAGAAGGGCTGGCATCAGTGTGTTCGTTGCTGGGAGTGGTGGGGTAAAAGGGGGGACGAACAGAACAACAATGCTTTCGAAGCAGCTTCTGAGGATGGCTCGAGCGAAGCGCTGTTCTCAGCACTCCCAAGGGGGACACCGCCAGGGTGATTTTTCACGGTCGCGGTCGCGGCTGGATTTTTTGCGGATGCGTCGGGCGGTCTGCCTGTCTGGTTTGGTTGGTGGGACTCCGGCGTTTTCAGAGTTCAGGCGGGCTTGTCTGTCTACAGGAGGAAAATTCAAACGTAGTTTTTGTTCAAAAGAAAGTGTGGTGACGATTGTTTCGTGTGTTTAAGAACTATGTTTGAATCTTTTTTGATTCGTATAGCTTTCCGTCCACAGTCCGCCTGTAGGGGACATGCCCGACCAAATTCCAGAGGAGGTTGTGAGGACGTCTCCAGCGAGGCACTGTGTTCAGTACGCCGAAACTCCCAACGGGACTTGCCTGGAGCATGAGGTCGTTTGGCAATATTTCACAAAACCTGGGCCCATTTCCACGGTGCCTGTTTGCCATCCTGATTCGTTCTTTTACGTTCCCAGGGCCTTGGGGAGCCCAGGGAGGCCAAACATATCAGACTAGAACCACGCGCGCGCTTCGCGCGTGCTTAGGTTCTAGCTAGGAGGCGAGCTTGAGTCAACGAAAGTCGCAGGGAAGGGGGCAGGGGGAAGAAGGCCAGAGAGCGCTGAAGGATACAAATACTGGAACCCTCTTGTGATTTTGTGGGGGGCCTCGTCCGGCCGCTCGCTGGGAGTTTGACGTAGCTTCTCGGGAGCCTCTGAACCTGTCGGGGGCCTCCTGGAAGCAGGTTCGAAGCATTTTGGGGGCCGATTTGGGGCTTCTCGGGGCCTCCTTTGGGCCTCTTGGGGGTCTCCTGGGGCCTCTTGAGGGGCCTCCTTGGGGCCTCCTGGCGGCCTCTTGGGGCGGAAGGCTCGAGCTTGCGGTTCGTGGTCCCCCTCTGGGCCCCCTCTTGGGCCCGTCTTGGGGCCCTCTTGGGCCATCTTGGGCGCCTCTTGGGCCGTCTTGGGGCCCTCTTGGGCTGTCCTGGGGCCCTCTTGGAAGCTTCTTGGGCCGTCTTGGGGCGGTCTTGGGCGCCTCTTGGGCCGTCTTGGACGCGGTGAAAACCCAAGAGGCGAACATGCGAAAAATATACGTTTTCCCATAGGAATGGCACGATTTTTGCTTCTTGGGCCTCTCTTGGGCTGCCTCTCGGAGCGTCTTGGAGGCTTCTGGGACCTTCTTGGTGTCATGACAGGCGTCTTGGAAGGCATCTGGAGCCATCGGAGCGCGTTCCGAAGCCGCCTGCGAACGATCTTGGACGGCGTCCGGCGGTCCGACGAGCCTCCGGGCCCCCCGGGGCCCACATTTGTGGTCGAGGTCCCGGCCCCGGGCCCCCGGACCCGGTGCGCCGTTATATGTATATAATTTGCTGCATTCTTTTCACGTCGACAGGAGATATGAGGAACATTTGGGATGTTTCGCACGGCGATAATTGTTGTGCTCTCCAGACCACACGTCCTCTCTGAAAGATACGGGTCGACGTTCGCGCGGCGTTGCTCCGACGCAGGTCCGACGTGAATCCGACGCACCTCGGACGCAAACCCGACGTGAACCGGACGTGAATCCGACGTACATTCGGCCTCAAGCTGACGCGCGAGGCCTCCAGGAGCTTCCTCACCTGAGGGTGCCAGGGGAGTCGAGCAGCTTGTGCGGAAGTCTCGAGCGAAGGGCGTTGTTTTCAGCTTTCCCAGGAGGAAGCCAACGGGGTGCCCCTAGATTGTGGGGATGTCTCAGGCGGTTTGCATGTTTGGTGCGCTTGGTGGCTGGGACCCCGTTGCTTTAAGGGCAGATTGTGCGGATGTCTCGAGCGAGGCACTGTCTTCAGCACTCCCAAGAGAAGACCGCCAGGGTGTTTGCACGGACCGTTCGTGCCCAGATTGTGGGGATGTCTCAGGCGGTTTGCATGCTTGGTGGCAGCGGCATCGGCCTTCCGCCCCCCCCCCCCAGGTCCGGCACGGGCGGCCCTGGGGCGGGCGGCGCAGACGTAAGTCGCCGCGCGCGCCCAGTGGAGCCGGGGTCCGTGGACTGGAAGGCGGTGGTGGCGGAGTTCGGCATGTGAGCGCCGCCCAGCTCCCCTCGACGAACAAGAACCGGCATACAGTCGGGGCCCTGAAGAAGGAACCCTTTTTCGTTGGGGAGGGGCTGCGCGTTCCTCAAGTGTTTCACAGCTTGCCTCAGGCTTTCCTGATGTTTTCGACAGGAAGTCGAAGGTTGATGTATGGAAAAAAGGGGCCTCGTTCCTTCTTTCGGGTTCCTTAGGTCAACGCCCCGACTGTAAACACACATTTTGGGCGCGCTATCGCGGATTTCTCGGGTCGGTGCGGCGCCTCCAGCGCCGCCCCCGGCGCGCGGTTAGCGCGCCGCGGAGGGGGGCACAGCGCAGATCCGAGAGCTCCGCGCGAACCGTCCAAGGTTTGTGTGTTTTTTTATGCCGTTGTTGTCCCGCTGCTCCCGTGCGCCGAAGGGCACCGAGCCCTGCGATCCTGGCGTTGCAAGCGTGGCGCAACTCGGGGGGGGGGGAAGACAGGGGCAGCAACGGCACGCCGCCGTGACGTCCTGGTGTTCGTCAGGATGGCGTCTTTGTCGGGGGCGGAAAAGAGGGGGGTGAGGACTAGGGGGGGGGGATATCATGGCGTGGGCCATGATATTTCCCCAGATTTCATGGCGCCTCGTCTTATTTCATTACGTTCCTGGCACCCCCGCTGGGCCGCGCACATGCCGCGGGTCATGATTTGCACCCCCCCCTCTTGGACACCCCCCTCTTTGCCGCTCCCGACTTTGGAAGTCCCGACCCTTTCCCCGGGGCCGGCTTTTCATCCTGAATCGTTTTTGACGGTCCCGGGTCCCGGCTAGGGCCTCCAAGGGTCGAAAATTGACAATCATGCTGTCTTGAGTGTTTGAAGACGCTATCGTGTCTGGGTGGGAGCCCCTCTGCGGGTAAGTCTTTCTTTGTTGCCCGATGGCCTCGTGCTCCTCCAAGAGCAAGGCACGCTGACGGGTTCCCCACGACGGCGTGTGCTTGATGCTGCTGTTGCTCCATCAGCAGCCGGCACTTTCGTCCGGCTTCGGGGCACTGGGGACCCTCGCAGATCGATCGGGCCTGAAAAAAATGACGCAGGATGGTGAGATCCAGGGCTTCTGTCGTGACGTTTGGCGATGTTGCCATATTTCAGGCGATCGCAAACATGGATTAAGGGGGCGTGGATTAGCGACGGGTCCCGTTTTCATAGGACATCGCGGATTTCCGCCGCCGAGCGAGGCGGCACCGGCCGCATTTTGGGGAGGGTACCTCCCCCGATCCATGGATTTGGCGACCGCGCGCCTAATCCATGGATCGCTAATCCATGTTTGCGCGCCCCCGCATATTCTGCAACGTCAGATCTCAGGGTTCCTCGCGGCCGAAGGGCGTCGAAGGCGCGGACTTGCAATATTCCCCAGGCCGCTCGCTCCGCGAACGTGGGGAGCCCAAGCGGCGGCCGGGGGGGATCCCTATTCTCGGGGAGGGGCGCCGGAGCAGGGGCCGCAGTCGATCCCAGGGCGGTCGTGGACGACAGTGCGCATACAGTCTGGAGGCGGGCTGCAGTCTGACAGACGGTCCATCGGCTTCCGGTGCTGTCGGACCGAGGTATAAGGTCGAGGTCGGTTCGGGGAGGGTGCCTTACGGTTCTCCGTATGTGTCGTATGTTCTCGTGCATCCTGGGGGAGGGTGCCCTCGGAGGTTCTTGAGTTTGGCCGGCCGAGGGTCTCATGTTCTTGAAGGATGCTCTTCTGTCCCAGGTCCTGCTGTACTTGCCGTGCCCCTCTGTTCCAAAAGCAGGTTGTACGAAGGCTGACACCACAGTGCGATGCCCAGCCCATGATTCTCCTCAAGCTGCTGAAGGCTGGCATGACGTTGGGCCATAAAAGCTCGAGATCTTTGGCCCAGCTCTTGCAGCGCATTGTTTCCACTGAAGGCACGCATGCAGCAACACATCTTCACTGCATGCATAAAGGGAGGCAGGCATTCAGTTTAGACGCAGCGTGAAAGATGGCGAACATCAGGTGGAGCACATACTTATTTGGCAAACGCAACTGACAGGCAAGTGGACATCATAGAGAAGCGTCTTGCGTCGGCGCGTGAGGAGGTGTGGGCGGTCCCCACCCCGAGTTCTCGGCACTCTCTAACACTTCCCCCCCGCTCATAGTCGGGAGACGGAGGTCCATCCAAGTTCGTCTCGCTCTCTCTCTCTCTCTCTCGAAAATTGGGAGGGCTTGGAGGGGGAGTCGGACTCACCCCATTTGCTCGCCCGCAAATTACGAACACGACCATGACGACGACGACGCTGACACCGATTCCGATGACAACGGCGACGACGACGCTGACGACGACAATGCTGACACTCTCGACGACAACGGCGACGGCGATGACATTTTACCACCATTGATCGTAGTTTACATTTAGAATTCCGCCCGCTTGTCCGCTTTCCTCGCGCGCCCGTGGTCATCGTTGTCGCTTTCTTTTGTCCCAGTCCCAGGTTCCCCCAGTCTTGTCACATCAACGCGCAATGCTCCCGTTTGAGATCCCGCCCGCCCGCCCGCCCGCTTTACTGTCCCGCCCGTCGACGTCGTTGTCGTCTTCGCTTTCCTTGTTTCTGTCAGCGTGTCCTGCCCTTACACCTCGCCCAGTCAACGAGCGACTACGGTGGGGGGCGTTGGTTGAGGAATGTGCCCAAGAGGCTTCAGACCCTGGAGGACTCCTCATCTGATGAGGGCGGCGGTGATATCCATGGCCAAGCCTCAATTGGTTCTCCACCCGCTTCCGCACCCTGTATTCCTTATCCAAGGGTTCCTTATCCAATGCCCTCACTGTATTGTGAAGGCCTGACGGCCTGTGCCGCCGACCCAGCAGGACGACGACGACGATCACGACGACGACCACGACGACGAAACGACAGCGGCGAGCTGATGACCCTGCCACAAGCTCGGGACATGGGGCGGGCGGTGGAGGGAGGAGGCGGAGGAGGAGGAGGAGGAGGCGGAGAAGGAAGAGGAGGAAGAGGAGGAAGAGGAGGAAGAGGAGGAAAAGGAGGAGGAGGCAGGGGGTTCCTCATCCAATGCTCTACTGCATTTCAGTGAACACCTCGCACGCCCGCCCAGCTGCATACCCCGACCGACGCTCCCGCCAGCTGGACGGTCCCGTCAGCCCCAACCGCGCCCGAGCTTCACGGTCCCGCCGTCGTCGTGCTCGTCGTCAGCGTCGCCGCCGTCGTCGTCGTCGTCGTCGCACTTTTCGTCGTGTGCCGGCGCGCTGGGAGGGGCGGGCGGGCGGGCGGCGTCTCCCCCCCCCCTCCCCCCAAAAAATGGACATGGCGGGTCCGATTCCGGTTCCAGGGGGAGGTTCTCACCAGAGGGGGGGTGGTCATGGTTCCGGAGGGTGGGGGGATTTTACGGAGCACGGTGCTTGTGAAAGAGGTCCATTTAGATGTGTGCTAAAGGCAGGATTGCAGGATTGCGAGCTAAACATAATTCATTCGGACATCAGAAGCTACATGTGAGGATGAGGTGAAGGCGAGCAACTTTCCTGCGCATGAAATCTGGCGAAAAGCAAGCGACAGGGTTTCTTCAGGAGCTGAGCAAGGGGGTACGAGAGTCCTTGCAGAATAGAGGGGCGGGTGAAGGATGCGACAGAGAGAGAGAGAGAGAGTGGTGGACAGGAGTGAGAGGGGTTGAGAGTGATGTCGAGTTAGGACGGGAGGAGCTTGCAGGAATGAGGGAAGCAGGGACGGTGGGAGATGTGTAGGAGTGGAGACACAAGAAGGACGAGGAGGAGGAGGAGGAGAAGGAGGAGGAGGAGGAGGCGGAGGAATAGCAGGAGGAGAAGCAAGCAGCAGGAGGAGGAGGAGGAGGAGGAGGAGGAGGAGGAGGAGGAGGAGGAGGAGGAGGAGAGGAGGAGGGGGAGGAGGAGGAGGAGGAGGAGGAGGAAGAGGAGGAGAAGGAGGAGGAGGAGGAGGAGGAGGAGGAAGAGGAGGAGTGCAGGAGGACAAGCAGGGACGAGTGAGGATGACGAGGAGGCGGGTGCGATGGAGGTCGAGGATGAAGGGCCAGAATGAAGAGCAGGATGCGTGGTGAGATGGGGAAGACGTGGACAGGAGGCTGAGGAGGAGGAGGAGGAGAAGCAGCAGGAGGAGGAGGAGCAGGAGGAGGAGGAGGATCAGGAGCAGGAGGGGACAAGGGGACGAGGAGGAGGATCAGGAGCAGGAGGATCAGGAGCAGGAGGATCAGGATCAGGAGGATCAGGAGGAGGAGGACGAGGGGACGAGGGGGAGGAGGAGGAGGGAGGGGAGGAGGAGGAGGAGGAGGAGAGGAGGAGGGGAGGAGGAAGGAGGAGGAGGAGGAGGGGGAGGAGGAGAGCAGGAGGAGGAGGAGGGAAGGGGAGGTGGACGAGGAGGGAGGAGGAGGGAGGAGGAGGAGGAGGAGGAGGGAGGAGAGGAGGAGGAGGAGGAGGAGGAGGAGGGAGGAGGGAGGAGGAGGAGGAGGAGGAGGAGGAGGAGGAGGAGGAGGAGGAGGAGGAGGAGGAGGAGGAGGAGGAGGAGGAGGGAGGAGGAGGAGGAGAGAGGAGGAGGAGGAGGAGGAGGAGGAGGAGAGGAGAGGAGGAGGAGGAGGAGGAGGAGGAGGAGGAGGAGAGGAGGAGGAGGAGGCGGAGGAGGAGGAGGAGGAGGAAGGAGAGAGAGAGAGGAGAGAGAGGAGGAGGAGGAGGAGAGGAGGAGAGGCGAGGCGGAGGCGGAGGAGGATGAGGAGGAGGAGGAGGAGGAGGAGGAGGAGGAGGAGGCGGAGGGAGGAGGGAGGAGGAGGAGGAGAGGAGGAGGAGGAGGAGGAGGAGGAGGAGGAGGAGGAGGCGGAGGGCTGCCCTGCGCTGCCCTGCGCTGCCCTGCGCTGCCCTCTCCTGGTGGTGCCCGTTGGGGGGGGGGAGCATCTCGAGGAGCCCGCCCAGCCCCGCGGGGCTTGCGCCGCTGCACGAGCTCCAGCGGCGGAAGAAGGCGAGCCGCCGCCGGGGCCCGGGGGAATGGTGGGGGCTTCCTGGAAGGACGGGGGAGGAGTAGGAGGAGGAGGAGGAGGAGGAGGAGGAGGAGGAGGAGGAGGAGGAGGAGCAGTGGCGGGAGCAGGAGCAGGAGCAGGAGCAGGAGCAGGAACAGGAGCAGGAGCAGGAACAGGAGCAGGAGCAGGAGGAGAGGAGGCAGGAGCAGGAGCAGGAGCAGGAGCAGGAGCAGGAGGTTGAGGAGGAGGACGGGGAGAAAGAAGAGAAGGAGAGGAGGAGGAGGAGGAGGAGGAGGAGGAGGAGGAGGAGGAGGAGGAGAGGAGGAGGAGGAGAGGAGGAGGAGAGGAGGAGGAGGAGGAGGAGCAGGAGGGTGAAGAGGAGGAGGAGGAGAGGAGGAGGAGGAGGAGGAGGAGGAGGAGAGAGGAGGGGAGGAGGGGAGGAGGAGGAGGAGGAGGGGAGGAGAGAGAGAGGAGAGAGAGGAGGAGGAGGAGGAGGAGGAGGAGGAGGCGGAGGCGGAGGCGGAGGAGGAGGAGGAGGAGAGGAGAGGAGGAGGGAGGCGGAGGGGAGGAGTTGGAGAGGAGGAGGAGGAGGAGGAGGAGGAGGAGGAGGAGGAGGAGCGGAGGGGAGGAGGAGGGAGGAGGAGGAGGAGGAGGAGGAGGAGGAGGAGGAGGAGAATGTGCGCTCGCGCCATATCTGACATCCGACCCTTCCCACGCATCCGTTTCCCATGTCGCTGATGTTGTCTCTATCCGTGGACGCGTGTTATAGCGGACCTGGGGCTCCCCTTGGGGAGACGAGGAGGGGGGAGGAGCAGGGCGCAGAGAGGAGGAGGCAGGAGGAGGACAGAGAGAGGAGCAGGAGGAGGAGGAGGACGGACCGTCGGTCGGGCTTCTCGCTCCGTCAGCTTTGCCCCTGCTCCCTTTCGCTGCCTCCGCCAGTCACTACCACGATCTCTCGACTGGCGCCCAGCATGCTGGAGCTTCCCAGTACGAGGCCATGCTAATTCTGCTGCAGGTGAGAGCCGCCCTTCATCGCGCAGATAGTGGCTACGCAGGACGAGCCTGGTGCGCCCCTGGGCCTGTGTCCGGCGCATGGACCGTAAGGCTTGAATCCTCAACATGGTATGCGAATGTACGCATGTGATGAGGTTACTTAGCACCCCGCAGATGCGGAGCAGAGTGGAGGTGCGGTGGAGATCGGCAGTTTGCGACACTCTGGAGAAGCCCGCCGCAGGCGCCAAAGTTTCACACATTATATACAACGAGCCCGCCGCAGGCGCCGATTTTGGGGTGGGTCGCGGGGTGGGTCGCGGGTGGGGCGACGACAACAAACAAACAAAGAACAGCAACGTAACAAGCATAATCCTCACCACGGATCCCCCCTTCGGCCACGCACCCAGGGACGATGAATGGCAGTTCGGCCCCCTCACCCTGATAAAGGCATCCGCCTCGTGTTCGATCGACGTGCGCAGCTCCTGGCACGGTGACGCCACCAGCACCAGGCGTGGCGGGAGGCCTTGGTTTGTACAAGACGTGGTGTGGACCCGCGCGCCGATCGCCTGGCCGGTGCCACGTTTGGCGCGCAGCAGTCGTGGCAGCATGTCGAAGCATGGGATCCAGATTTCCAACAGGACAAGAACAGGGCGATCGATTGCGACGGCGGGCGCTTCGTGGGCCCCGGAAACGGCAGGGCCGTTTTTTTCATCGTTTCCGAAAAAGTGCCCCTTGAACATGGAAACGGCAACAAAAATGGCGACCGGAAACGGCACAAAAACAGTTTCAGGTTTGGAACCGGAGCCGGAACCAGTAAACACACGGCGA